CCCCCCCCCCGCCCCCGCGGCTGCGGTTGCTGCTGCTGCTGCTGCTGCTGCTCAGAGCCCCAGCAGCAGCAGCTCAGGACAGGTCAGAGGTCAGAGCCAAGGACCTGAGCAGCAGACACCTGGTGGTGAAGGAAGGCTCGGAGACGCTGCTCCAGTGTAACGTGACTGGAGAACCTGGAGATCAGGTCACGTGGTTCAACTCCAGGGGCGTGCAGCTGGGGGAGGACACAGGTAGTGAGGCTACAGTGGAAAAAAGGAGGAGAACGGAGCGCTGCTGCAGCCTCCTCCTCCTCCTCCTCCTCTTCACCTGTTTGAACTCCTTTGACCTTTGACCCCTCTCCGCAGGTGGGAAGTGGCAGATTCAGGCGAACGGCGTCCTCAACATCAGCGTGGTCTCCTTTGAAGACCGTGGTCGCTACACCTGCGTCACCGCTGGTGGAGCCCAGAATTACACCGTCACGCTGCGTGTGGCCCACGTGGGCGGCGGCCTGGGCCTGTACTACGTGGCGGTCTGCCTGGTGGCGTTCAGCGTCACCATGGTCCTGAACGTGGCCAGGCTGTGCATGGTCAGCAGCCACCTGAAGAAGACGGAGAAGGCCATCAACGAGCTGTTCCGCACGGAGGGCGCAGAGAAGCTCCAGAAGGCCTTCGAGGTCGCCAAGCGCATCCCCATCATCACGTCCACCAAGACGCTGGAGCTCGCCAAGGTCACGCAGTTCAAGACCATGGAACTGGCCCGACACATCGAGGAGCTGGCCAGGAGCGTGCCGCTCCCCCCGCTCCTCCTCAGCTGTCGGGCGTCTGCGGAGGAGGCGGCGGCGGCGGAGAAGGTCGGCCCCGACTCCACCGCCAAACCTCAGGCTCTGGGCCCACCGTGTCCTCAGGGGTCGGGGGACCAGGAGGTGCTGTCAGGAGACGGTCACGGTGCCCGCGACGTCACAGTGTCGGTCCACGCCTTTCCTGAGAGGGTGGGGCACGAGGGGCGCCATCCGCTGCTGGAACGCCCCCCGGACCACGGGTCCTACGAGAGTAACGTGTAGGGCTCGGTCTGGTCCGGTCCGGTCCGGTCCAGCTGTTGCCTTTGGTCTACTGAAAAACTCAGCTCCACCTGCTGGACAGAACCGTTCAGCTGGGGTCAAAGGTCAGGTCAAATCCTTGAACTCCGTGGACATCTTCATCTGGAGTGAAAACGTTTCTGTTTACATTTGTTCAAATATTTTTAATCCTGAAAATGAAATAAAACGTTTGTCCAACAACAAAGGTGTCCTCTTTACAGATAAACAGGTCTGACCTCTGACCCTGCCCACAGGGTCTCCTTCCTCTTCCTCCTTCTTCTTCTCCTCCTCCTCCCTCTCCCTCTCCTTCTCCTTCTCCTTCTTCCTCTTCTTCTCCTTCTTCTTCTCCTTCTTCTTCTTCCTCTTCTTCTTCTTCTCCTTCTTCTTCTCCTCCTCCTCCCTCTCCCTCTCCTTCTCCTTCTCCTTCTTCCTCTTCTTCTTCTTCTTCTTCTTCTGGTGATTGAAGGTAAAGATCTGCTGCTGAAGCTGAAGTTTTTATTTCTGTCTTTGACAAAGTTTTCCTGGAGAAAAGTTGGATTAAAAAGATCCTGTGCATAATGAAGAACCTGAGATTACCCAGAATCCCCTGGGGTTTAGGTTTGGTCCCTGTCTCTGTGTGTGTGAGAGAGTAGACGATAAAGTTCTTCATCACTGTGGGATTTTTAAAAAGTCATCACTCCTGGAGATGATGAAGATGAAGATGAAGATGATGAAGGTTTAATTTTCTGTCTATATTGAAACACGTTCTTGCTAACTTTTAGTCATTTTAGTGCGGAGCTTTTCTCATCACGTCCGACCAGATCAGAGAACAACAACAGAACAACAACAACAACAACAACA